ACTGCCCCAGCCTTCCAAATGTTAGGGCTTATAGGTGCATGCTATCATACCCAGCTTCAAAGCCATTTTTTTTTCTAGACACAGTCTCAGTTCATAGACTAGGTCAAGCCTCAGGATCTAGATAGAATAGGAACTCCAAAATAAGATATAGAATAGAGAAATTTGGGAAATCTGGCAATTAGAGCAAGTATGTCTAGAAAGCTGGGCAAAATCCAGACTAGTGTCTGCTAAAGGATTATCAGAAGCCTTCATGCTCAAAAAGGCTCTTATTTAAACACTGTCTATGGCCACATTGCAAAGTTGAGTGGCTGTGACAAGAAACTACATGGTCTACAAAGTCTAACATATTTACTATCTTGCTATTTACAGAAAAAATTTAACAGTCCTTCCTCTAACCATTAAAGACCCATATAATTTCTTTGATCTTCTTTCCCAAACATTCCATATTCATCTTGCTGGATTCTTTCTTTTTTATCAAATAGGCCAGGCACACTCCTATCTCATGGCTGTTTCCTCTGCCTGGAACACTTTCATCCTAAACATCTACATAGTTTTTTTGTCTTGCACTGAAGTCTTTGTTCAAATGTTACCTCCATAGTTAGTCCTACCCTAACCCTCAGCTTAAACTTGTAACTCACACTCCCTGCATCACACTTCCAAACTCCTTACTGACCTCCACAGTCTTTTCCACAGCAGGTATCACCTTCTAACATTTTATTTAACATCTATTGCTGTCTACTTTTACAAACTAAAATATAAACTCCACAGTTGTAGACCCAAAGTAAACCCTAGTATACAATTAGGCATATACAGTTGTTGAGCATATTAAATTTCCTTATACTAAAGTTTGTTATAAGGATGCAGTTCAGTGGTAAAGCATTTGCTCAGCATACTTGAGATCTTGAGATTAATCTCCAGCACCACACAAAAATAGAAGTGGGAGGACCTTGGACTTCCCACAGGGCAGAGAATCTGGACTGCTCTTCATTCTCGAGAGGAAGGGGGAATGGAGTGGGGGGGAGAGGGGGAGGGGGCAATGTGTGGGAGGAGGGGGAGGGAAATGGGGAGAAGGCAGAAATTTTATTTTTCAACAACTAAAAAAAATAAACAAAAAAATAAAGAAAAAAATGCATAATAGCAGCATAGACACCAAGAGAAACAATAAATGGGACCTCCTGAAACTGAAAAACTTCTGTAAAGCAAAAGATGCAGTCAGCAAGACAAAATGGCAGCCTACAGAATGGGAAAAGATCTTCACCAACCTCACATCACACAGAAGACTGATCTCCAAAATATGCACATAAGTCAAGAAATTGGTCATCAAAATAACAAATAATCCTATAAAAAAATGGGACACAGACCTAAACAGATAACTTTCAACAAAGGAATCTAAAATGACTGAAAGACACTTAAGAAATGTTCAACATCCTTAGCCATCAGAGAAATGCAAATCAAAACAACTCTGAGATTCCATCTTACACCTGTAAGAATGGCCAAGATCAAAAACACTTATGACAACTTATGCTGGAGAGGTTGTGGGGAAAGGGAAACACTCCTGCATTGCTGGTGGGAATGCAAGCTGGTACAGTCCCTTTGGATGTCAGTGTGACGATTTCTCAGAAAATTAGGAAACAACCTTCCTCAAGACCCAGCAATATCACTTTTGGGTATATATCCAAAGGATGCTCAATCATGCCACAAGAACATGTGCTCAACTATGTTCATAGCAGCATTGTTTGTCATAGCCAGAACCTGAAAATAAACTAAATGCCCCTCGACTGAAGAATGGATAAGCAAAATGTGGTACATTTAAAGCAATGGAGTACTGCACAGTAGAAAAAAATAATGACATCTTAAAAATCTGCAGGCAAATGGATGGAGCTAGAAACATCATATTGAGTGAGGCAACTTAGACCCAGAAAAACAATTATCATATGTACTCACTCATAAATGGTTTTTAAACATAAAGTAAAGCAAACCAGCCTGCAAATCACAATCCCAGAGAAACTAGACAACAAAGAGGACCCTAAGAGAGACATACATGGATTTAATCTATACGGGAAGTAGAAAAAGACAAGATCTCCTGAGTAAATTGGGAGCATTGGGACCTTGGGAAAGGGTTGAAGGGGAGGGGAGAGGAAGCAAGGGGAGCAGAGAAAAATGTATAGTTCAATAAAAATCAATAAAATGTGTAATCTTGCCGGGCGATGGTGGCGCACGCCTTTAATCCCAGCACTCGGGAGGCAGAGGCAGGCGGATCTCTGTTAGTTCGAGAGCAGCCTGGTCTACAGAGCTAGTTCCGGGACAGGCTCCAAAGCCAGAGAAACCCTGTCTCGAAAAACCAAAAAAAAAAAAAAAGTGTAATCTTTTCTAAAAAAATGCATAATAGCCTCAATTTAGTCAGAGTTCTCTAAAATCAAGAATCTGAACTTTAAGAAATAAAATTAAAAACCGTTGGTCTACAGACAAAAAAACCTCTAGAATGTTCCATCTACTCATCTGTTTATCTATTAGCCACCCATTAATCTAGTATTTACTGTATGTCTAACCATGTCAAGGTGTGGGGAAAGCGTAGAACAAAACTAGGTAAGATAAAACTCATAGATGAACAATATAATAGAACACAGAATGTGTAGCCTAATGCTGCAATGCAAACTCAGATCTGCAAAGGATAAGGCCAATGTTTTTTTTTCCTCACTATGTTATTAATTACTGATTGCATAAAAATAATCTTTAACAGCAAAATAGTGGGAAATGTGGGTGCCATAATGAGGAGAATAAGTAATTTTTTGAATACAAAGTCAATCTCCACTGTAAAATTATTAAATAATGCACATGGAAAATATTGTTTTGATGGAATATATGTATTATAAATTAATTCGATACAAGGAAACATATGCATTTATTTAATGAACCCTAAATGAATACTAATGGTGGAATGGTATCATCTTAGCCTTTAAGAGGCTCATATATGGAGAGCAAACAGGAAAGAACTTAAACAAACAGACAATGTGATAGGTTAGTGGCTCAGGGTTTCTACTGCTATGATAAAACACCAATACCAGGCCTGGCACAGTGGTCCATGAACTTAATCCCAGCACTTGGGAGGCAGAAATGTGTGGATCTCTGTGAGTTTGAGGCCAGATTGGTCTACAAAGCGAGTTCCAGGACAGTAAGGGCTGTTACACAGAGAGCGCCTGTCTCAAAAAACTCAAAACCAGGGAAAACAAAGTAACAAACATCCTCACAAAAAAACAAAAATCCACCATAATCAAAAGTATCTTAGGGAGAAAAGGGTTTATTTCATCTTACAATTTGCATAATCCAAGGAAGTCAGGACAGAAACGCAAGGTGGGAAATGATGCAGAGGCCGTGGAAGAGTCTACTGCCTTGCTCCTATGGCTTGTTCAAACTGCTTTCTTATAGTACCCAGGACTAGACTGGGAGTGGCACCCCCCCACACACACACACATGGTGGGCTGGAACCTCTCATATCAGTCATCAATCAAGAAAATGCATCACGGGCTTGTCTATTTATGGGCATTTTCTCAATTGAGTCATTTCCAAAATAACCCTAGCTTGTGTTGAATTGACATAATATTAGACAGCAAAGTCCATAAATATTAGGGGGACACTTTTCCTTTATAAATACTAAAATGTTATAGCTAAGATAAATAAAATCAGCCAAAAGAAATTTTTAAAAAACATGACAAGTGCTCATATTTGTTAGATAACAAGTCTGCAACCTGATATGCTAATCAGCAGTGAACACCTAGTGTCATTGTCTTAAGTTATGACATTACAGAGACTCCTTTCTCTGAAGGTGTACAGGAAAATCTAATTTCAACCGTCTGCAGCTTACATACAGTAAGACTATGGAATGGAAGGTCAGTCCTTCCTTCCCACTTACAAGCAGTACCACCTTAGTATGTTTGGAACAGAAAGTGAAGTGATACTGTACCTCAGATATTTTAGAAAACATTACTTGTACTGCCATGTGCAACATAGAAGCCTATGAGAATGATTTTCAAAACTAGTCACCAGACTATCTATTCAAATATACCTTTCCATACTCAAATGTTTATAGAGCCATCTATTCAATCATTCTGGATCTTAAATTGACAATTAATGAATTTACTGAACATGGACTTATAGCTTAGAGTTATAGGCTTATAGCTTTAGAGTTATAGCTTATTCCTACTAAGAATGAAATCACTCAGCTTCAGAGTTCAGTTAATTCATGAGCTCTGACACTAAAAGGTTAAATACCACTATGAGTATTATTTTGAGAAAGGATCTCACTATGTTTTTTCAGGTTGGCCTTGGACTCCTGAACTGAACTGATTCGTCTGTCCCAATTTCCCGAGTAGCTGGGCCTAAGGTGTATATCACTATGCCCACAACCAATATGAATGTTGAAAGGAATAGGCTTAGTGGTAAAACCATTTATTGTTTTTTCAGAGGATCCAAGTTCCCAGCTATGCTGGATGGTTCACAACAACCTGTAAATCCAGTTCCAGGAGATCCAACATCCTCTTCTAGCCTCTGGGGGTACCCACACACATACACATAAATAAAAATAAATCTTTAAAAAAAACCATGAGCCGGGCAGTGGTGGTGCATGCCTTTAACCCCAGCACTCGGGAGGCAGAGGCAGGCAGATCTCTGTGAGTTTGAGGCCAGCCTGGCCTACAAGAGCTAGTTCCAGGACAGGCTCCAAAGCTGCAGAGAAACCCTGTCTCGAAAAACCAATCCCCCCCCCAAAAAAAAAAAAAAACAAAAACCAAGCTGAATAGCCTGGAAGCAACATCTGAAAAGATTTCCACACATGCTCTGTGGAATGACACCGTCCTGCACATGAGAGGGGAGACTCTTGGTTTTAGCTCATTCCACTACTTCTCAGGGCACTTACCTGAATACAAGCCCCTGTCTTCAACTTGCACAGGCTGCAAACTAAGGCCCACCGGCTAGGTGGAATATGGGAGATTTTTGTGATGGGTTCCATTCTCTCAGGACAAGCGATGCTGACCTACAAATAAAGTATCATAAGGCAGAAGCACCAAGGCATCTCAGAAGTACTTTTCACAAACTATAAATGATGTTATATGAAGCTGAGAACATTAAAACAATGAGGTAAGCCGTATCTTCCAAGGTTAGTATGAAACTAAGAATAAACAAAACAGATCTCTTTTCATTGCTCAGTCCTTCAGTTACTTCTAGCAATGTAAACAATTCATATATGTGATGTGAGTGCACGAGGGTAGACTAGGTAGTCATGGTTACCTTAAAGAATCAAGATATATCCATCTTTACTTAGGAACCAAAGAAAGCTACTAAGGAAAGGAAAGAAAGTTTAGAAATTCTAGTATCTGTTTTATGTTAGAGATGGTACCACATGCCTTGCTATTTCATTTAATCAACTAAATATAAAGACAGGCGGTGACAGATCTTTATATTTGGTTCACAAAGCAGGATAATATTGTTGGAAAGTAGCAGCAAATTTATGTAATGAAGAGACTGCAGCATGTAATTAGAAAGAATGAGGATGATATCACTTCTAAACCCCAATCTTTAAAACTATGTAACTATTATTAGCTTACCCTACTCTCTCAGCCAAAGTAGCTTCAAAGTGAAATTAAGTCTTTGGGGATGCTGAAAGGAAAGGTATACTTTAAAAAAGATGAAAAAATTCTTTTCCATCTGGAAACAAAGGGTCAATCTAATTACTGCTAAAAATGTGTTCTTGTTTCTCTTTTATAACTTTATACATGCCTTTTAAAAGAAACTGTTTTCTAAATATTTATTCTATTTGTATGCATATTTTGCCTGCATGCATATATATGTGCACCACACGTATGCCTGGTGCCATGGATCCCCTGCAACTGGAGTTACAGATAGTTGTGAGCTGCCATATGCGTGCTGGGACTTGAACCTGGGTCTTCTACAGCCACAGCTAGTGCTCCTAATCACTGAGCCATTTTTCCAGACCCAAGAAATAAATATTTAAAATTATTATTTTTTGTTTTATTTTCTGTGTATGAGTGTTTAGCCTATATGCATGTCTGTACACCATATGCATGGACTGTCTACAAAGGTCTGAAAAAAAAGTATTGAATTCTCTGGGAATGGAGTTACAAATGGTTTTAAGCCACTATATGGGTGCTGGGATTTTGGTCTGGAAAAGTAGCCAATGCTCTTAATCCCTGGACCATCTCTCCAGCACCAGAAAGAAACAGGTTTTAAACAGTGAATAACTATCAAACTAAGATGATTCATCTAGTACAAGTTATATCCAGATCAGGAAAGAGAGATCTTTAATAATTCAAAATCTAGAAATCAAGAATTAGAAGCCCTAAGAGAAGTTTTTTGAAAGTTTTTTTTTTCTTTCAAAACAGGGTTTCTCTGTGTAACAATTCTGGTTGTCCTGGCACTCACTCTGTAGACCAGGCTGGCCTTGAACTCACAGAGATCCACCTGCCTCTGCCTCCCAAGTACTGGGATTAAAGGTGTAAGCCACCACTGCCTGGCTAAAAGTTTTAGTATTTTTATTTTTGAGATAGCATCTATGTAACTCAGGGTGGTCCTTAACTCATGACCTTCTTATTTCAGCCTTCTGAGTGTTAGGATTATAGATGATTTGTTTTACTTTTATGTGTGTGGTACTAGGGATCAAGTCCAGGCCATTGCACATGCTAAGCAAGTGCTCTACCTCTGAGCTATATTCCCTAGCTCTTGTTTTTTTCTCTGAGACAAGGTCTCACTATAGCTTAGGCTACTCTTGAGTTTACTATGCAGCCCAGGCTTTGAACTTTTGACTATCCTGCCTTTCCAACCAAAGATGTAGGTTTACAGGCATATGTACCAGGGCTGGCTTCAACCTTTTTAAATTTAATTTTTTGGTAATGGAGAGCTGCTTTGTTCATATTAGGCAAATACTCTACCACTAGCTACACCCTAGCCCAAATCTGTGGGTTTTGTTTGTAGGTTTACAGGGTCTAAGTATGTAGGTTGGCTTTTAGCTCACTAGACAGTTCCAAGCTGGTTTCTAGATCTTAATCTCCCAAGTATAGGGATTACAGGAATGTACTACTATGCTTAGTTTAGAAGCCATGTTTTAATTAAGTTAATGAACAATAGCAGGATGAATAAACAGTATATCCATAAAATGGCAAACTACTAAGCAATGTAAATTGGTGAACTACTGATACATATTACAACATGGAGTGCTAGCCAGACATAAAATAATACTTACTGTATGAATTCCTTTTACATGAAGCTCAAAAATATATAAAACTTATCTATAGCTGATCAAAATCAAAATGGTTATTATTCCCAGGAAATAAGGAAAGGAGGGGATATAAGGGAGCCTTCCAGGATGCTATTAGTATAGTTCTGTGGTATTTCATGTTTTAGACTAATTTGTGGCTACAGGTGTTTTTTTTTTTTTTGAGACAGGGTTTCTCTGTAGCTTTGGTTCCTGTCCTGGAACTCACTCTGTAGACCAGGCTGGCCTCAAACTCACAGAGATCCACCTGCCTCTGCCTCCTGAGTGCTGGGATTAAAGGCGTGCACCACCACCGCCTGGCTGTGGCTACAGGTATTTTAAAGTAAGGTAAAGTTTACTTTTAAAATGTTTCTCACACTTTGTCTTTTTTTTTAAAAAAGTAGTGTGTTTATTTTAAATATAGTAAATAGTTTTAAAATATTTGTTTATAAAAATATTACTATATGTGTATATGTGTAGAGGTACTTCTGGAGACCAGAGGTCATCAATTCCCTGGGAAGCAGAATTAAAGGCAGTCAGTTGTGAGCTGCCTGACATGGTATTGGAACTGAACTCAGATCCTCTATAAGAGCACTGTGAGCTCCTAAGAGCTATGCCATCTCCATCTCCCACACTCTGGTCTTTTATGCCTCTTCTCTCAAACAAATTTATCAAACACCACTGAAAGTACCATTCACAAATACATAAGTTTGGGCTAAAATGCACACTTGTGTCCAAGAAGACCTGAGGTGGCACAGAAATCTCAGAAATATAGGTGAGCAGGAAGCATTTCCATGACAAGTATCTGTCTGTCTAAACATCATGGGAAGTAGGACACCCTGGAGTAAATGGTCCCAGATTCAGATGGTTTCTTACTTCTGGTATCCACAGGGCACAACTGACATGGGCCCATTTAGTCCCTGTCCTGGTGGTCTTCATAGCTCCACCTTTCTTAGGACACAAAACACACTGTGGATAAATGCCCAGGACACAGGAACGACACAGCCAGCTGCCTTCTGGAATCTTAAGGATGCCATAGCAAGCCTGTAGGCATGAGGAAGAGAGGGAAGAATGGTCAGTGTATCTGTATTAGCACTAACAACAATTTTGACATAGTTAAGAAAATATTCTCTGTTTTGGGGATAAAGACAAATCTAGCTGAAGAAGTTCTTATCTAGGATTTAGCAATTTTTAAACACTAAAAACGAATGTAGCAGCATTTGAACTAAGATTAGCATGCCTATCTAGATAGAAAAAGACAAGGTGGAGATTCATCCCAAAGTTAGCGAATTATTAACAGAGAGTTGGGTTACAGACATTTTTATTTTTAAAAAAATGGATTCTTTTTCCTGTTTTCCAAATTGTCTCCAATGTTTATATATTGTAACAGGTCATCAAATCAGTACTGGAGTAACTTCAACATGTCATGTACTATTGTGATCAAGAAAAAAGGTGATAGAAAATAGTGAACTATATGAATACAAATCAGCTAATGTTTATAAAGAGTCTAATACGACCTGGTACATGAAAAACATTCAGCAAATTGTAGAAATTATTTGTTTAGGTTGAACCAGGAGACTTGTGAATTGAATCACAATAATCCATAATGAGCTCTGAGAGCTTTTTTAATTCTTTATGTAATGATATTAGAAAATAATAAACTCAGGGAGGTGGAAGATACTTGAAATTATTCTAGATCCCCCATCTTCAATTCTGTCCAGTTCCCCTCTTAATTGCTCTAATGTATTTCTGAAAAAAAAATGCTTCCAAAATATTTTGCCCACTTTGACTACTTGCCATGAACATATTCTCTTCTGACTGAAAAGACCTCTGTGGTTTGACATACATTTTGACATTCAGCATGAGTGCCACTTGTTGGAAGTTGTTTTTTAATTTTTATCTCTTCCATGCCATTTCCACATGCATTTATAATCTATAAAATCAGCTGGTGGAGAGGTGGTGGTGGCACATGCCTTTACTCCCAGCTCTCAGGAGGCAGAGACAGGCAGATTTCTGTGAATCTGTGGCCAGCCTGGTCTACAGAGTGAGTTCCAGGACAGCCTTCAAAGCTACAGAGAAACCCTGTCTTGAAAAACAAAAACCAAAAAACCGAAACAAAAATCACCTGGCACTCTGGTAAACTGGTAGTTTCTTTTTAATCATTATACTGTGGTTTTCTTGGGGGAAGGGGCAGAAAGTATAAAGTTCTTCATCACTGTGTCACCATAATGCAGCATGGTCCTGGCTCATAGATGGTGCTTAGTGCATTTACAGTATTTGTTACATAAACTAATAATACGAATAAAATATACAATATGTTCAGAAGATTAAAAATTTAGTTAGGTAGAAGTCAAGAATTGAATTGAACTACATCTTGGAAGATATGTACACTTTGATAACCTAAGGTAGGAGACAAGACTGTGTATGGGTATCCTTGTGTGTGTGTGATTGAGTAAGTGTGTGTGCTTGTATGTGTGTAGGAAGACAAGACTGTGTATGGGTATCCTCTTGTGTGTGTGTGTCATAGGTTAAGCTGAATGTCTTCCTCAATTGCCCTCCATATTGTTTCTTGAACCAGGGTCTCTTAAGAATTTGATTCAGCTAGATTGGCTGGGCAGCAAGTACCAGGGATCCTAACGCTGCCTCTCCATGTGTGCCCCTGTAACTTAGTTCTTTATGTGTGTTTTGGAAACTCAGGTTCTCATGCTTTGGCATCAAGTACTTCACCAACTGAACCAACCACCTGTAGCTCTCTCTCAGAAGATATTTTTAAATTCAGACATGGCTGTAAAATGAAGACAGGATAGTGTTAGCAATATTCATCACTGTACCTCAAGTGACTTTGTTTTACCACAGAACAGAGCATAGGATATGGGTAAGAGTTGAAACAAGTGCTGATATCATTAAAGCTAACATTATTAATATGACAGTGTGACAGAACAAGTGTCAACTAACTTGTGTAAAGTCATTTAACCTTTCCTTACATTGTTTGTAATACTAAGATGAGAAAAATCTCCAATGTAGATGATGCAAGAAGCATAGGGACTTCCTGAGTGAATCAAATGAGAAAAATCTCAATGGTCTAGACATGAAATGACACAATAAAGGCCTAGGTTTAGCCTCTTGGGGGAATATTAGTAGGTAAAGCAGCTTAGGGACCACAAGCAATGTTTCTAGAAGTACTGAAGAACAGCAAAGCCTAATTTTGATTTTCACCTTTAAATATAAGACATTGTTCAGATATGAGTGTTAGAAATAATAATCACTGAGCTTCAAAAATGCTGACCATTGGAACAATGAGATATCAGATTAAGGACACTTGGACTAAGCCTGATGATTTTAGTTTAAACTTCTGAACTCCAATACTAGAAGAACCAAATCCCAAAAGTTGTCTTTTGACTTTAACACTAATATGTTGACCTTGTATGAGGGGGCAGTCTCCATTTCCACTAACCTGATGCACACAGACGTTACACTTATCACAGAATACCATATCATTCCCTTCTTCACTGTCTGGAGACCGGCACACGTCACAGATCACATCTTCATCATATTCTATTCCTAGCCCTTCTTCTGTCTCAATAGCATGGTTCATATTTTGATGGCAGTGGCGTTCTAGAACTTCTATTGTTTTTTCCATAAGCGTCTCATCAATTGGCCCATAACCTGCACAAAAATAAAACCAATAACTCTTCTGTCAGCTGTCATTCCCAAATCATCAACTGCAGGGGTAGGCAGGATGCTAAGGGACAAAGCCATCTTTTTTTTTTTCCTGATCTAAAGCAACCAGATTTCAAGGATTTTTTTTACTAGAGAAATTCTAACATTGAGTAAAATAAAATTAGTGTTTAATACATTAATGAAGAAATACATCACAGCACATTTTCTTAAAAATTTACAGATGCTTACATTTTTTTTTTTTACTAAATCCTAGTCAGGGGGCTAGTGAGATGACTCAGTGGGTAAAGACACTTGCTGCTAAGTCTGATGACTTGATTTTAATTCCTGGAAACCTCATGGTGGCAACAAAGAATCAATTCTCAAAAATTCTCCTCAACACACATATACATAAATAAATATAAAATTAAAAAATAAATCCTAGCCGGGCGGTGGTGGCCCACGCCTGTAATCCCAGCACTCGGGAGGCGGAGACAGGCGGATCTCTGTGAGTTCGAGACCAGCCTGGTATACAAAGGGAGTTCCAGGACAGGCTCCAAAGCTACAGAGAAACCCTGTCTCGAAAAAAATAAAAATAAATCCTAGTCAATCTCCTGCTAAAACCTTAATTAATTTTCTCTTATTCCTACTAATAAGACTTGAACCAAAGGTGTAACTTTGAACACTTTAATTCGTAGCATTTAAATCTTTTACTTGTTTGAGCACAAATAATGTATTAGTAACTTAGCTTCACTAAAAATACTTAGTGGTCATAACAAGAAGTTTTCATTTGATAATGTATTAACCCATAAAAGAAAATCCTAGGTAATATGTATATATGGATATGTATATGAAATACTGTTTTTCAAAACTGATTTAAAAAAATCAAATACCATTTTTCAATAACAAGCAATAATAGAAACCTCTCAACATTCACAAAGATTTAAATGTAATTCTGAAATTACCCCTTTTCTTTCTGATTTGTTTTTCTTTTTATACTTTTATTTTTCTCCTCACCCTCCATATTTAACCCAACTGAAAGATTCATAGGGCTGATATTGGTAAAAACTAAGTATTTTTCTTCTTAAGAGGACCAATGATTTTTGGAACATTATTTAGTTACTTTTAGAAACTAAGGAATAATTTTCAAAATGATTCAAGATAAATTTATCCAACAATATTTTTAATGTAAGACATCTAAAGAATTTTAAAATATGTATGAATTACCTTTTAAAATTTTATCTACTTACAAAGCAAAGATTTTCTCTGGCTTATTTTCAGCCTAGACATACCATATACATATACATATACTTACATACACATATGTATATATCAAATACACATATAGATATGCAGGAACAAAGCATATAGTGTCTAGTCTGGATATATACTCAAAGAATTCTATATCCCATCACACAGATATTTGCATATCCATGTTTTTTACTGTTGCTCTATTGACAATAGCAAGAAAATGGAATCAGCCCAAACAAATGCTCAACTGATAAATGAATAATGCAAATATAGTATAATTTTATCAATTCATAAAGAAAAAATGAAGTTCACAAGAAAGCGGAAATAACTGGAAAATATATTGTGTGTGGTAACATGGTCTCAGAAAGATAAGCACCATGTTTTCACTCCTATGTGGAACCTATAGTCTAATTTTTAATATATTTATATTTGTGTAGGAATGATTATGTAGAGTTCAGGAAAATAGAAAGGGACCTATGACAGGAGAAAAAAAGAGGCCACAATTAACAAAGATGGGTGGGAAAGGTAATAGATTTGAAAACACAAGGGGGAATACCAAATATAAGGGTTTAAGCAGGGATGGGAAGTGGGGAGATGAGGGACTGAAGACTGGATAAACTAAATTTTAGTATGTATGAAAATTTAATAAACTTGCTACTTTATAAGCTAATTTTAAAAAGCAGAGTTATAGAGTCTAGTTATAAAAACTTGGATTCAAATTCCAACTTTATCTCATATTAGCTATGCAAACTTTGTTATCTTACTGTTCTTATCTATAAAATGATAATACTAAATTCATTAACTTGTGAGGATGGGATGTTTGCTCATTGGTTAGTATTGTACCCAGTATATAACCAGCATACACATTTTAAATTCTTTAACTTGAGCAAAAATGCTTAATTTAATATTTTTAAAAGTTTATTTTAAGCTCTAAAATGTGTGACTATAACATCATTCTTCCTAAGGAAAAATCCAACACAAGGCAATCCTCCTCAACAACTCTGGATCACTTGTTCTTCTAGAGGACTTAGGCTCAAGTACCAGTACCTACATGGTGAATTGCAACCATCTGTAACTCCAGTTTTGACGGAGGAAGGTCATTGGTTAATTATAATAAAGAAACTGCTTGGCCCTCATAGGTTAGAACATAGGTGGGTGGAGTAAACAGAACAGAGTGCTGGGAGGAAGAGGAAGTGAGGTAAGACGCCTCAGACAGACACCATGCAGCTCATCGCCAGGGCAGATGCGATGAAGCAAGCCGCCAGGTCAGACATGCTGAATCTTTCCTGGTAAGACTGGTGCTACACAGATTACTAAAAATGGGTTAGGCAAAATGTGAGAATTAGCCCGTAAGAGGCTAGAGCTAGTGGGCCAAGCAGTGTTTAAATGAATACAGTTTGTGTGTTGTTATTTCGGGTAAAGCTAGCCGGTGGCGGGAGCTGGGTGGCGGAATGCAACCCACAGCTCCCTCAACACAGTTTCAAGGGATTTGATGCCGACTTCTGGCCTTTACAGATACCAGGCATGTATGTAGTGCATGTACACACATATAGGCAAAACTCTCATATAAATAAAATAAATACATCTAAAATATTTAAAAACTAAAGTTCAATCAAAAACCTATTTTTTATTTTGTTGAGATTATAATATATTCACATCATTTCTCTCTCCAAACCTTTTCATATACCTTTCTCATTTTCCTTTAAACACATGGCTTCTTTATTGCTCCATGAATATATGTCTATAAATATAGGTTCCTAAATATAACCTGGTCAATCTGTATAATGCTACATGTATGTATGTTTTCAGAGTTAAGCATTTGGTACTGGATAACTAGTCACTGTGATCTCTGTTTCTCTTGCTCTCAAACATTCATTGATTGCCCGTAGTTCTTTGTGTAGGGTTGAGTACTGCACAAGAACACTAAGAATGCAATAGTGGTATTCACACCTTGCTGGTTAACCAATAGCTCTCTAATTGAACTTAAAACCCACTTAACTTACTTTCATTGGTCAAATAAAAAAAAACAACCCACTTAACAGAGGGAAACCGTACTGGAAACCTAGCTAATTACTCAATGCAAGCAAAGTCATGGATATTGAAGGAGAACCTAAAAATCACTACTTTATTAAAATCACTACTTTATTAAGCCCATATAATCCCTAACTACATTCTAAACATTTGTCCTTATATCCACAGATAAGTGTAGTCTTCACCCCTCATCAAGGAAACTTGTCTTTGAAACAAATATAGACCACCACAGAAAACCACAACCAATCAAAATGTAGAGTTGTAGAGCCAAGTCTCATTTGATATATCTACAAAACATGTCTGCTCAAGCTAAGGGAACATTTCAGATGAGGGAGCAGTATGATTGTAAAAGCAAGAAGACCAGACCAGGGAGTTTGCTGTGAGATTGTGTCTCCTAGTGATGTCAGAAGCTACACACACAAAATCTCACCAACATGAATACCTATACATGATCTGAACAAGGATGACACAAATAGACATGCTAAAGTAGACAGGGGAAAAAGCCCATGAAGCCTCACCCCTATACACACAAAACATCTCTTCTAAGATTAAATGAAATGTATTGTCCTGGATAGGATGGGATCCTAGACAAGAAAAAGATTAGTAGAGAAAAAATAAAAAGCCCAAAATTCTGGAACATTAGTTAATGGTGATGGTTTCTTCATCCTGACAAATGCATCATGGCAAAGAAATATGTTAATATTAGGACACAGAATATACTTTAGGTATACATTTGTATTTTCTGCACTGAATGTCCATTTTTTCTGCAAATCAAACTTTTCCATTATAAAAAAATGTAATCCTCATCCAAAGAGAATTAGTTGTAAAACATTGAACTTATAGGGCAGTTTCTTATCAAAAGAAGCACTGTGATGGTTGTGTTATCATGAATTCCATTTGCATGCAAAACCACACACTGTGGTACTTGATTATGTCTTTGTCCTTCTTTTATTCCATTCTCTATGATTTACACTCTAAATTGGCCACACCCTTATTCCTCCTAGAGAACAAATAAAGAAGAAACAAAACATACTAAGATTATAAAACAAAAATTAAGAAGTAGTTGTTGGCAGAATAGCTTCCATCGCCATGCCAAAGAGGATTTAATATAATTTTAACTTTTTCCACATGTATTCATATACTAGCTTTAACATAGAGAACAAACTGAAGGTAGCTAAGAACTACTTTGGAGATATTTTTCCATAGGCCTACCATTCTGGGCAACAAAATTATAAGCCTTATATTAAAGGGCAATGGTCATAGTAACCTGTCACTTGTAGTAGGATAGTGGGTACTGTTAAATACTGATAAACCTTTTTTTCTAACACCTGAGAGACACACCTCTATGGACTTGTCCATTATTAAGAGTGATTTTCAGGACTGATCCACAAACAGGTCTCAGTATCCTTTCTAACTAGAAGTTCAATCAACCATCACTACACTAACATTTAGCATTATGAAGCAACTTCATGAAACTTATGTGCTATCTGTATCTATGCTATTATACTGAATAAATGAAGGATCACTTAAATTTTATTACTCTATCTTAATACTGATTAAAATTAATACTGATAAAATACTGCTATACTTTATACATTTGAATAAATAGCTCATTTCTTCAAAAATAAAAATAAGTGAAAGGGTAGGTAAGAAAGGAAAGCAGATGAAAAAAGTTTTACAGAGTTCTACCAATTTAAAAAAAAATCACTGGTGAAAGTCAAAGCACAATTTACTTTTAAGAAAACAGCTTACCCATTTCTCCAAGGTCTTCATTGAGTTCTTGAAGCCAGAAGGTGTCCATGTCATCTAGGTCATATCGGCATGTAGATGCTGCCAGCTCTAGGGTATTGATATAGCCAGGCTCTGCAGACTCTGGGCTAGAGCAACGGATATATTTCCGCGGCCGGACAAAGAGAACTTCCTTTACCCTTTCAGATATAATCCTAGAAAAGCAATAGAAAGACATCGGCAACTATCAACAAATGACAGATTTCAGGTACTGACAGGATAAGCCAAATGACTCTGGCTACACAAGGGCACATGTCTTGCTATTCCTTCTGGGAGATATGGCAGATCCCTTTCTAGAATCAAATGATTCTGAAAATTCAGTTTCATCATCTGCTGTGAACTTATTGACTGATAATGATATGCTTCATTCACCTACACAGATCTGGGACCCTACTACTATTTATTCTAATAAAATGTTGATGTATTGTGTGTTCTTGACCTAATGGTCACCAAGTATATTTAAAAGGGAAAAATCTGGGATTGAGTGTTAGCTGCACAAAGGTATCATGTTTAAACATACACCTCAGCAAAACCCGTGATTTTTTTCTTCCATGGACAGACTAGGTTTTAGACTTACACAAACCTGTTTCTTTTTCCTGTCATTCATTTGTAAAGTGGTTCTGAAAAATTACTTAATTTAGATAAGGTTCAGTTTTCTTTATGAAAAAGTAGGGAAAAGAATAATAAATTATTAAATAACACCAAACTTGTAAGATTATTATGCTTACATGAAATAAAAGTATTTGTTATGGCATATAATAAAAACATGTTTCAGTAACACTAGTGTTATAATTCTTACTACTTTCATTATGCAAATGAGTTAAAGTCAAGAGATCATAGAGTTGCATAAACTCAAGATATGAGAGCAGCCATAGGTCTGAGCCAGGGCTACATGATGGAAAAAAATTCCTATTATTCCATCAACTTTTGTAGTGAGCTTGAGCAAATCCATGGCCTTTCTGATACCTAAGAACTCAAGGCAAGAAAACCAGTCAGGGAAAGAAATGTCTACAACTTAATCTATAATTGATGGTTTAAGTACCAGATGAGGCATCAGAAAATATAACCAAAAGGAAATCTGGATTATCTTTTCTTTTCTTGGCAATTTTAAAGAACAGTGTGGGTTATCTAAAAAGGGGGGGGGAGAAATACTCGTATTATCATAAAATAATGAAAACCATTCCTCTGGAAGGATTTTAGAGCTAATTTAATTCTAGAGTCATTATATGTGTAGGATAATTAATAAAACAATATCAATACATGTAATATATATAATTGACCATGTAAGTGCAGAAAGTACATATTTTCTTCTAAGCATTCTTCCCAAAGCTTATGATTTCAAATAAAGTATCTTGAATAGTTAACAAATATATATATTTGTACATTAAAATTATTCTATTATATGGAAATCCAAAAGCAATAAATATTGGAAGAAAATGCAGAAATCTTAAGCATTAACTGCAGCTAAATTTTAAAACTTTATTCAGAGGCCTGCTTCTAACTGAAAAGGACAAAATACATGCTCTCCAGAGACTTCAAGATCAAATAAATATATAGTGTGCTTCTTTGGTGCATGGCCTTACAAGGAAATTATAGAATATTAACTAATGGTTTATCTCAAGTGCTTTAAACTGTACAAGAAAAAAGTTGATTATAAATTTTCTGGAATGAAGCTTTTGTTTATAAGGCTTCTGGAAGAACACAGAGGAGAATACATTTATGACATCAGGATAGGCAAAGATATTTTACATGAAACACAAATGCCACCAAACACAATAGGAAAAGATTGAAGAAACATACACACTAAAACTTTGGTTACAAAAAGAGAGTGAAAAAGCAATTTTTGGGGTAGACGATATTTACAATTAAAGATATACAAAAAATTCAATTAAAAACTAGGCAAAAGATTTAGGCAGACACTTCATAAATAAGGCTACCTCTTGCAGCAGATAAACAAAAGGCTCTCAACCTAACTAGCTATCATAGATATTGAAATCATAATCACTGTTATCTACCAGAACGGCTAATATTTAAAAAATTGACCCCAAACTGGTCTTTGAAGGTCTAAGTGATGGTAAGAAACGGAAGCAAATAGACCTATTGTTACATTGCTGGCTTGGGCATGAATTGATATATGCCACTTTGGGAGCAAATACAGTTATAAGATATGTACAGGATATGAACAGATATATATGTTCTTTGACCTAGCAAATATATTTTTATTATATTTAAATTTTAAATATATTTTTAATAAAAATGTACAGACATTTTATTATTACAGAGGGTAAAAAGGTTCACTTTCTACAATAGCTGGAAACAACCTAAATGTCTTACTAAAGGTGAATGGGTAAATTGTGGCATATTCAAACAATGAGATATGATGCATGAGTGAAAAATGAACTACTACATGCAACAGCATAGATGGATCGCACAAGCATAATGATAAACAAAACAATCCACTCTCAAATGAATACATACTATAGGATTCTATTTATATGAAGTTCGAAAACTGGCAAAACTGTTACCTATGGTGAGGGAGGTCAGTTACTGGCAGGGAGCAGAAGAAAGGCTTCTGGGGTGTTGATAATGTTCTATTTCTTGATCTGAGTGGCAGTTAAATGAATACGTTTAATTCATAAAAATTCATTCAGCTGTACAAAAACACATTCTATATTTTCTGGATGTACATAATACTTCAATGCAAAGTTTATCATAATGATAATTAAAATGGTGATGTTACCTTAGTCATTTTTCCATTAAGTATAAGTAACTAAAGTCTGAATCTAAGAACAGAAACAATAACACCAAAATGCAAGAAAACACATAGGTAAAAGGTTAAATTAATGTAAATTTACAAGAGAAGTTACTGAATTTATTACAGAAGAGAAGATCTGTGAAAATGTTATTTTGGGATTTTTATCTTACTTTTGGCTTCTTGAGACAGGATCTCACTATGTAGCCCTGGCTATCCTGGAATTCAACATGTAGTTCAGGCTAGTCTCCAACTCACAAAGAATCCACCTGCCTCTGTTTTCTGAGTACTGTGATTAAAGACATGTGTTACCATGCCTGGAGGATTTTATTTATTTATTTTTTTGAGACAGGCTCTTGCTATGTTCCCTGCTTCAGCCTCCCAGGTGCTGGGATTATAGGTGTGCTATCATTTCCAGCCTGGGACTTTTTAGAAAACAGCTTAAATCATCATCATTTACACATGCACACATGCAGGCTCATGCACGTGTGTACACACACAAACACTTCCAGTTATCAAAAGACATTTTGCTTCATGTGTGTGCCTGTGTGTATGATTGCTGTACCGGTGTAAAAGAATGCAGACAGATTGTAAAAATATATCTATAGCTTTAATGGAAAAAATAGACTTACAGAACCACGGTTCCTGCGGAGACCAGGAAAGCAGAAGTGAGCGGGCGAGCACACTCGCCAGATTTATAGGTAAACATTCGCCCGAGGTGAACTTATCCCTACAGATTGCTATTGCTTTAGAGCAGTGGTTCTCAAGTTTCTTAGTGCTGTGACCGTTTTATATAGTTCCTCATGTGGTTATAAAATTGTTTTCATTGTTACTTCATAACTAATTTTGTTACTGCTATGAAATGTAATATAAATATCTGACATGCAATTCCCAAAGGGGTTGAGACTCACAGGTTGAGAACCACTGCTTTATAGGAAATCCTAGAATACTATGGTTTTCTTTGCCAGTCACTATGGACTAGGTATAGAGACACTATGAATGGCATCAGATCACTGACCATATCAGCAAATGTTCACAAACACAAAGGTTTAAGTAATTTTGTTAGAACAACATAAGCATAGCTTTCAATTTAGATCCTTTAATATAACAGAATGTCGTAGTAACTTTCTAGGTGACTGGCTTTTGGTAAAGTACCCATATCCACTTCTCTATAGAAAGGTTTATTCACCTGTTCTTCACTAGTAGGTTCGAGTGGCTGGAATATTATTAACTCTGGCCCAAGAAAACACTGCTGTGCCACTGAGGAGTCATTGAAATGAAATTATTATTACTGTTGTTTGACCTAAAGCTTAACATAGTGTTCTTTTAAAAAATTCTTTTATTCTTTTTTTTTTAAAAAAGAGAACTATCTTTTTTCATTTTACACACCAATCCCAGTTCCCACTCCCTCCACCTATCCCACCCCACCCTACCCCCATCCACTCCTCAGAGAGGGTAAGGCATATGGCTTTGGAGAAGGTCCAATGCCCTCCCTACTATATCTAGGCTGAGCAAGGTATCCATCCAAAAAGAATAGGCTCCCATAAAGCCAGTACAAATAGAAGGGATAAATCCTGGTGTCACTGCCAGTGGCCCCTCAGTCTGCCCCAGTCTTGCAACTGTCACCCACATTCAGAGGGCCTAGTTTGGTCCTATGCTGGTTCCTTCCCTGTATGGAAGTTGGAGTTGGTGAGCTCCCAATAGCTCAGGTAGATTGTTTCAGTGGGTGTCCCCATCATGGTCTTGACCTCTTTGCTCATATTCTCACTCCTCCCACTCTTTAACCGGATTTTGGGAGCTTAGCCCAGTTCTCCACTGTGGGTCTCTGCCTCTGTTTCCATCAGTTGCTGGATGAAGGTTCTATGGTGATATTTAAGATACTCATTAATCTGACTGCAGGGCAAGGCCAGTTCAGGCACCCTCTCCTCTATTGTTTAGGGTCTTAACTGGGATCATCCTTGTGGATTCCTGGGAATTTCTCAAGAGTCAGGTTTCTTGCTAGCCCCATAATGGCTCCCTCAATCAAAATATCTCTTTCCTTGCTCTCACCTCTGTCCTTCCACTATCTCGACTATCCTGTTCCCTCAAGTTCTCCTCCCCCCTTCCCCTTCTTTTTTCCCCTTCCCCTTCCACTCTCCCTTCTCCTTCCATCCCCAAGCTCCCAATTTTGTCAGGCAATCTTGTCTATTTCCCCTTTCCAGGTGGATCTATATATGTTTTTCTAAAGGTTCACCTTGTTACTTAGCTTCTCTTGGATCATGAACTATAGGCTCAATGTCCTTTGCTAGCATCCACTTATGAGTACATACCATGTTCATCTTTCATGCTCATCAGGATGTTTTTTCTAGTTCCATCCATTTTTATTGACAGTGACCTTTCAGGGACTTTTCAAATGACTTTCAA